AACTTCAATTTACTTCATATACTTCGATTTTTAATTTTTATTATTACGGTTTCTTTTATTTGTCATATTTTTAGTCATTCCTGATTATATCAATATTTAATTTGTTTCCAATTTATTTCTAACTTACAAGATATCATTCTCAAATTAAAAATATTAAAAATTCCAACATCAATTGAACTGTGCTATCTTCGAATAAGATATTTTTTTATTCCTTTTATAAATTTTGTACAGTTCAATTTTTATTTAATTTTTGTATTTTTTCCCTAAAGTTTCAGTTACAGTATTTATCATTCACCTACAATTAGCAAATTCAGCACGCTAATATTACCTCAAAAATAACATAGCCAATGCACGGGCAATAAACTAGTTTAAAACAAAAGAAGCTAAATTTTCATCTCTAGTGTTCCCAAAATGAAATACAAGTTTGGAACTGATTAAGTAGTCTGTAATTGTTGATAGGAAAAGTGCTTACCTCCCACTACCGGTTATCATAATGAAAGGCTCTGTCCGCCATCTCTGGAGTGTATCCCCCTACAGTAACACATCAACAAAAAAATCCATTTTTCCAACTTGAATTTGTTTCAATTACAAATGAAATATACTGTTTATGTAATTTTTAATTTTTTTTCTGTTCTAGATGACATACACAACTTAACATTCACTATATTTCTAGCTATCCACTATAATAATCAGAGACCACAAATTTCACATAGAAATATTATCACCACCCCAAATAAATGTCTAGTATTTTTCTACAGCTTATGCTTCAATCCGTTTTCATACTGTTTGTGCCTGTGCACGAGAGCATTTTTTTATACGAGGATTGGTGGTTGGTACAGTCTAGTGTTAAAAGAAATATTCTAAAAATAAATGAACCTTAATGCATGAAAATTAACATATCTTTTATTGCTTGAAATAAATACACATCATGTACCACATGATTAAAAATTTCATATCTTAGATCGCCAAGGCCCAAGAGGTCTCAGATACAGAATGTAGCATGCCTTCTCCCATTTACTTTGGATAGTTTTTTTTTCCCTTTTATCAATACACATCCCCCACAATTAGCATACTTTGAACTAAATGTCTTGAGTTACTAGACGTTATCATATAATAATAATGATAATAATAATAATAATAATCAGTACTAGTACAGTTCTAGAGCACGGTTATTGGTTGACAGCCATGGAAGCAAATATTGTGAACAATACAGGATGAAACTCAATACACTTTTTCACTGGCAAGGCATCAGACCATCAAAACTGTATCAGGTTTACGGTTTACCTGAGCAAACGAATAAAGCCTCCAAACATAGTAAGTATGCTCCTTTGAACCAAGCTCAAATAAGAAACTAAAGAGAGGATTCCCACGACCCCGCTCCATTATAGCTTGCTCAAAAGCACAACCTCCATCGAGAACATAGAGTGCCATTGTATCAATAACATGTTGAAGATGATTGTCGTCAGGCACAACAACATTAATATCAGGTATATTTGGAGTAAGAACCTACACGTGTAAGAAGAGCAAGGTGTACAAGAAATTGTCAGCATAGACAGTGAAATAGTGACCTCAAGAACAAACGACAAACTAAAGTGAAGATGCCTAGGCTCTAAGTCTGTATCACTACTTTTCTTTTACCCCATAAATCTTTATATTACAGAGAATTTCGGCCTTGAGAAACAGATCCAAAATATTAATTGAAATTCTAACATCAACACGCAAAAGTTCTAACTAAAATTTCCCAGGAGACCATCAAAGAAAAAGAAAAACTGGCTACAGTCCTACTATGGTAATCCAAATAATCAGGAATCTAGGCCTCTGTAACGATCCCTTCCAGCAGAGTCTCCATTTCCTAGAGTAACATGCGGATTTCACTCCATCCCGAAGGATAGAATGTCTTGGTTTGATTGGAGAAAAAATTAGGCCAAGTTAAAAAGGTGTTAGTGTATTTTTTCAATTATATTCCTTGATCTATACCCTAAACCCGTAGATGAAATTACATTATTTTTATATGAATGTGGGAAGTTTACTTATCAAAAAAAAATATGAATGTGGGAAGTGAAAATCTGAGAGCATTCTCTCAAGGGCAGTTTGATAGGTAATGGCTTTTTTCAGGAAAGAAGAGATTGTGGGAATGTTCTAAAATGAAAGATAAGGCATTCAATGTAGCACAAAGAAGTTACTTTTCACTAGCTTTATCTAAGTTCATTGAGAAGAATAAATTGGAACTTTATAATATTCCAAGATTATAAACAAAATTTTCTCAAGTAATTCACATTGGTAAAAGACAAAGTATCAACAACATATAACTACAGTCTTCGGTACAACGATAATGCTGATTGCATAGTGTTTTAGAAGCAAAATGCCATCATATTAGTGTTTAGATTCTTTTTGAGCAGGTTGGATGACAATACAAAAAGGAAATTAGATCTAATGAATTGGAAAATAGTACTCTTAGCGTATTGCATGTGATGATGGAGTGAATTATTGAATGTTTAGAATACAAGCTCTTTTCTCCTTACTCAATTTTTATAAGAATGACTTGTTACCACTTCTATTTCATTCCAAAGAAATGTTGCATGGGCATAGAATACTACCTAGTTTTACTCGCTCTTTTTTGGGTTCCCATTTTCTTTATCAAATAGTTTATTTATACATAGTACCAAGGCTTTGACTTCATTGGTAAGTTAAATACCAAATTCACTTGCTAAGAGAGTAAAAATAAGTAAAACTGAAATATCAGATGAGATAACCCACCAGCTCAGAATTTTGGCCAGGAACAGAGGTTACCGGAGGGCCAGATGGACCAGACAAGATGACAGTTGCACCCTGTCAAACATACAAAATATTTTATTTTTTTTATAAACAGGCAGAGACCAAAAAAAAAAGGTCATGACATGATGAATATTGTATTACAGAAAGAAAAGGGCAAGATGCAGGTCAAAGGCATATCTCTATTGGGAAACCCAAATTTAGACAGCCACAGAAAGAGGTAAGATACATTCATAAAGTATAATATTCAAGTGATCGAATATTGAAAGGTTGATAGTTACTGACCTCCTTACTCCTGATGGCCATTTGTCCAGGAGGGGGAGCGGGAAGTGCTTGTGATGGAAGAGAAACTGATTTACCCCACCCAATCTTCAACTCATATTCATAAACGATTACTCCTGGATCATAAAATAATATCTTCAGGCCATTTTTATCTATAGATGATATTCTATCCTCTAAAAAGTATCAAACATGCAACTTATTAACATCATAACGAGCAAACTTTTAGCCATTCAAGTTTGTATGCAATCTGAAGTCATACTGCAAAAAGAAGGAAAATTGTGGGTACATTTATCCCCGTCTCTAAAGGTGAGATTTACATAGTTGGCATCGCTTCTTCACCAGTGAAGATCTTTGCCATTTACAATGTTTTAGCCAGCAGACAGATAATATCATTTCACTGCAGTTCTGCTTTGCAAAGGCTATCCATACTACAAGCTAGCTTATGTTTTATTTTGTTGAAATTAGTTCTTAATATAACATTATAAAATACAAAATAATTTTTTTTTTTTTTGATAACCGTGGATGTCTGGGCAGCTTGCGCACACCTCGACTGACCAATTGAGCAACCCCTCAAAGTTGTAAAATACAAAATAATTACTGAACGCCATCTCTCCATGCCAATATGATGTCAAATAAAAGAAGCTATTAAATGCTTAACTATAAAATCCTATAATACAAGGAAAGACTGACCATGAATAAGACCGATTCCTATTTTTTATGAGCAAAATGCAAGCAATGTAATAGCTAATATTAATCAACCCCGTAATTAACCCCTGGATCGGCACAATAGTTCCCTAATGATCAAACACCATAACATGAGGAGAACAAAAGAACAAAAAGAAGAAATGAACCATCAAAATTGAATTATCACATGAAACGTGTAGGTAGCACTTCATGTGAAAAATTTCAAAGTTGAAAAAAATACAGGGTATATAATGGTTTGTCAGAGAACATATATAAATCAAAAAATTCAAAAATTGAAACATGTATAAAGAGACTTAAAACCAAACCCTGCATTTCATCCTTTGCAGCCTGAGCATCAGCTCTATTCATGAAAGCTACAAAACCACAATTTCTTTGACGCCTTCGTTCTTCTTCTGTCCTCGGCCACATTATTTTCACACTAGCAATAAGACCAAATCTTCCAAAAGTTCGTAAAAGGAAATTCTCATCTACCTGCCGCAAAGGAAATGAATCAACAATACAAATGTTAGCTAAGCATTAGCTAAAATCTCAACCCTTAAAAACGGCAGTGGGTCTCGAGGTATAGAATGGACAATAATCTGACCTGAGGTGACAAGTTTCCAACATAAAGATTTGTAGTTTGTGGATCTCCATCATCAAATGATCCAAATTTTCCCATCTCAAAATCATCTGGCAGCTCATCAAACCGGCTGGAGGGCTAAAGTCAGAGCAATATCATCATAGGTGAGGACTTAAATAAACAAAAGTTAATCATATGACAACAAGACTAATAATATCTCTTCAAATACACATTGCATGAGTTTAATATCCATAATTTTCACATAGAGATATAGATGCTAATCTCACCATAAGCAACATGATATTGCAAACACGTATTTGACATGTATTGTATAAGCAGCTATAGTTCAAGAATCCATGGGACACACTAACCAGACTTTGACAGGAAGAAAAAAGAAGAGAAAAGGATAAGAAACAAAGACACAAAAGTAGTGAGAAAAAACTTTGCTACCAGACCTTTATCTTTTATGCTACATAAACTAGTTAGAAGAAGAACTCACAGCAGAATTATCACCATAACGCGTATCAGAATATTGCTCACGCTCTTGATTACGCCTCTCCCTCATTTCTTGTTCATGTTTCAACTCCTCCATGAAATGATCAATGTTCCTGGATTTCCCTTTTTCTTTCTCTTTTGGCTTCTCCTCCTTCTGCAGGTTGTGAAGCAAACAAGCGAAACGTAAATGAGAAACGATATTTATCAACTCTCCAAAACTACGAGAGAAAGTTTCATTTAGCTTAAGCACCTTCTTTTCAAATTCTTTACCCTTTGTTGCCATAGGAGGTGGAATGAACGATGGCACATACCTGCATGAAGTTGAACTATAATCTAATATCTATGACAACGATTACATGTTCCCAAAAAATTGGAGAGGGAAGAAAAATCAAAAAAAGGGACAAAAAATAGACCAATATTTAAATTGGTTCACTAAGAAATGTACTATCGGTGTTTGTGATGAAGTTGTATCTGACTCTTCTAAAGATGCCAACATCTAAATTAAGGGACTGCAAGTGTAATTTTTCCAGCCAACTAGATAATTTGATATTTCATTAGATGATTCTATTGCTCATGTTAAATAAGAGTCTATGAAGAGAAATGACCAGCTCGAGGATATAGTTTCAAAATTTAAATCATGAAGAAGAATAAAGGTATCTCTTTTAGGATACTCAGGGAGAGTCCGAGGTAAAGGTTTGCTTCACTTCCCCTCAGGTCCACTAAGGTGAGAGTACCTGGCCGTAAACTTCAGGGCCATGGGATTAGTCGAGGTACGCATAAGCTGGCCCGAACATCCACAATTATAAAAGAAAAAGGCTTGCTTCACTCAAATCAAAACTGGTATCACGGTTTGAAATTACATAGATACCAATAAACTTGAAAAGAGTTAACACGTCCATAGGTTCTCCTACTCTTGAAAACAAGTTCATATCTAAGTCGAGTGAGATCATATGGTATACAGAGAAATATGCTCAAGCAAGATATTCTGTGCATATCAGAGCATTTAACTGAATTCATAATTTCTATCAAGTCACATAGGGAAAGCAGCTAGAATATCTGATAGAAATTCTAGAAAAAATATATCATGAATTATGGCTCAGAAGGTATTGAAGGTATGAAATTTCAAAGGCCAGAGAGATTGGTGTGTCTGCCATGATATGTGAAAGAGCCAAATTATGGCTTGATCTTTGAAGCAATTTACTCCATATTATTGTAAAGTTTTGAGAATAAGATCGTTTATTGATGCTAAAGGAAGAAAAAATGGTTGATTAGCCATATAATAAAATGTGTGTTACAAATGCATCTTTCACTTAATTCCCTCCACTAACAAATGCCAACTTTAGATTTAGGATAACTAGAAGACATCCATGTGAGAAGTAATGAAACTTGACCTGGAACACTGCATTTTCCCCCTTGGCAAGCAAGTAGAGAATATTGATTGAAACCACATCGACAACAGGCAGAAGAATAAGATACAAGCCACAGAAAAAGCCTAGTCAAATTGCCAAAAAAAACTAATGTATCTGTATTCGGTGATTACTAGACAGTTTACAGAACAATTAGTAGGTCTATACTTCAGTTAAATGATAAACAATGCCTTCAGCAGCTACATGGACTTAGAGCTTAAAAAAGAATCTTAAGCTGTATGGATTCGACCCAAATCTCATGCACAAAAGGTAAAGGTTATCACAAGGGAAGAAAAAGACCTCAAGAATATTGAAATTAGTTCCTCCATAATACAATATTTATGATTGAATAAATCAAGTGATGGTACCATTCATAAGTACATGATGTATTAAAGCGAGATGTTAATGATATATAATTAGTCTGCTAACTTTACACAATTTGAAAGCAGAGCAGAAGAAGCCACCAAAAAATTCTCATACTCAATATGCCTAACAATAAGAGCATTGAAGCACAGTTGATCAAAAGCATTTGTTTACCTACTCCCCTTCTTTATACCAGAACCCTCATCTTTGGAATTTCCACCTGCCATCCGCGAATGAATAGAAAAGGCCCATTTTTTTATTAATGCGTCCATGTAAAAAAGAAATAATTATTTATTTATCCATATTGCATTAACAAACAAAATTATATTAAATTCTTCCAATTAAACGGCTTAAGGAATTAAATTAAACAAATTTTCTTAATTAGCAACAGACCTTCAGAATAATTTTTCAGCTTCTCATTAGGATTGATGGTACCACCTCGGACAAAGGCCTTGGACCCTGGTGTATCATCTACTTGAAAGGATTCCACAAACTCTTGATATAACCGAGCTGCTTCATCCTCCTCCCTCTAAAGATATCAAAAAATTTACATTAAATGTAAATATGGACAAGTAAGATTATAATTAAAAGTCATATTTCTTTATCCCAACTAGAGAAAAAGGAACGCTGTGGGACAGGGGGAATACTTTTTTCTTAGCCTCTTCCTCCTCTCTATGCTTTTGAAAAGGTGTCTTCTTCCGAGAACTCATTTCATCATCAAGTGATTTAACTGCAGAAAAGCACAAAAAAGTCCGTAGAAATACTCATCTTGATGGTACACATTGNGTCCGTAGAAATACTCATCTTGATGGTACACATTGCAGAGTGGACCGAATTATAATAATCAAAAGAAGAAAAAATTCGAGGAACCCAGATCGTGAGTTCCAAAGATAGAACGGGCACAAAATCGTAAAACCCACACCACTAGTATGAGAAAAAATTAATTTTTTATCAACTACCTCGTGAACGAAAAAACAAAAATCTTAGTATTTATTCACAAATTTAACTATACAATAACAAGAAGCAGTAATTGTACACAACTTTTTTTCACAAAACTTACAAACATATATACTAAAATTATATTGCTGGAGCTACAC